GGGAAAGAGTAGTTGCGGACTCGTCCTAGATCGAGGCAATGATGGACTGACCTTTACCTAGAAGTTTGAAGGAGTTGAGGGGATTCCTAGTCTCACCATATACTATCAAACATTTATTAAGGGGTACGACACAGTAGCATGGCCACTGAAGGAGTAGCTGAAGAAAGACAATTTCAAGTGGGGCAAGCAGCAACACAATCCTTTGAACATTTGAAGAGAGTCATGACTAGCGTATCAGTATTAGCACTTTCAGATTCAAGTAAACCATTTGTGTTAGAAACATATGTGCCAGGGTATGAATTGGGAGCAATACTCATGTAGGACCGTCGACCGATTGCATACTTCAGTCAGGTTCTCACAACTATGACAAGGCTCAAGTCAGTGTACGAGTGACAGTTAATGAATATTGTTTTGGCCATTTAGAAGTGACGAGCTTGAAGTACCTTTTGGAGTAGAAGATTGTGACTGAGGAGCATCAGAGGTGGTTATCCAAATTACTAGGATATAATTTCAAGATTTAGTATCAACTAGGGCTGGAGAATGAGCCTTAGCTGTACTGTTGAAAAAGGTGGAGGAGCGCCTAATGACAGTCTTATCGGTACCCTTCGTCCTAGATTGAGAAGCTCTGAGACGGGAGAGTGAACAGGATGAAGGGCTGAGGAAAATATGGGTAGAGTTGCTACAGGGCTAGAACAGTCATCTAGGATATGCATTAAGGGTGCTTCAGCTACATCGTGTTGCCGAGGGCATCAGAGCACATCCCCAAACTATTGCAGGAGTTTTACAGCAGTACAACTGGGGGACACTCAGGATACAAAAGACATATAGTCGTCTATCGATAAAGCTTTATTAGGTGGAGACACAGATACATAGAGGCCATGTTGATAATATGCGATGTATGTCAACGACATAGGTACTTGAACATGGCACCAGGAGAGTTACTGCAACCCTTAGCTTTAACGGAGAAGGTTTGGGAAGAAGTGAAAAAAAATTTTATTTGGATTGTTACAATTAGAAGGATTTACAGAGATTTTTGTGGTAGTTGATCGCCTTAACAAGTATGCATATTTCATTCCATTATGCTATCTCTACATAGCGGTTTAGTCGCTACGATGCTCGCTGGAAGTGGTTTGTTTGCACGGAATACTGAAATCTATTGTATCAGATAGGGATAAGGTGTTCCTCATCCAGGTCTAGAAGGAGTTGTTCAAGTTACGAGGAACAATCATTAAGAGAAGCACAACATATCATTGCCAGATCGATGAGCAGATGGAGTGGCCAACAGGAGTGTGGTGACATACATGCATTATTTTGTATATGATTTGTCGAAGTTTTGGGCTAGGTGGATTGCGTAGGCCGAATATTAGTATAATACGTTGTACCATACTGCGAAACGGACCACCCCTTTTAAGATTTTGGTATGGGCATGATCCACCTCATCTGATATATTATAGGCATGGCGCTACACCGTTATCCAATGTCGACAAGTACTTGGAGAGGGACAGTATATTGGCAAAGCTGAAGGGACATCTACTAAAAGCATGGTTTATAAAATAGGAGTGGGGCTCTCTGTTTCTTAGTTACTTAATTGTATTTATATGTTGTATTATGTGCTCAGGGAAGTTCTTTATCTGTTTTTATCAAGATAGTCGTCTGTTTTTCCAGTTCTCTTTCATAGGGTTGTATCCAATGACTAGAAGTTGCTTCGGCTGTAACTCATCCAGATGTGGTGTTTATCTACCATTTTTTGCATCCCACAACCTTTCCTCTGCTGCTATCGTCGCTGCGTTACCTTCATCCACCTGGAAAACAGCCCCTTGGTTGTTTTCTTGCAGCCGCCTACCACCCAACCCCCTCCTATCTTTAGTGCCATCCCTTCCAGCCACCTCCCACCTTGCTGCCACCCTCTTCCAACCACCTTGCTTGTTACCATGAGCCTACTTGGCCCTTCCAATATCTTGTCAACCACCTCCCTGCTGCAATCACCTCACCATTCCCTACTGCCACCCACCTTCCAGCTATTCAACAACTAACTATGTTCTTCCATTTTTGACTTCCAACCATCTACTTGCTATTTCTTCATAACAATTTAAGCCCTAGTTGAGTTTTTGTTGTGCTTTTACTATTTTGTAGTTTAAAGCATCTTTAGTTGTATTCTCTATTTGATTTTCATAATAAAAGTTGCATTTCTATTGTCATTTGGGATTAATTCTAGTATCATTTAGTATCAGAGTTAGCCCAACTCTAATCCTATCTTAGGATTTATAGCATTCATCCATACCCAACTCTATCTCCACTCAAAAATTTTCTTTCCCACCGTACATCACATCTACATACCTACCTTAAACCCTAATCATGCCTCCGAAGAGTCAATTGTCGGAACTTGATCAGGAGTTACCATGGACAAAATGTAGCGAGAATTCCGCCAGTGCTACAATGGCTCTCTGAACTTGAGGGAAGGACCCAGAGAGGGGTCACCGATGAGTGTGATAGTGAGATCTGATAGGGAGAGAGAACTTTTGAATCTCTTCTGTAGGAATGATTCCAGTGGAGAAGAAGACAGATCGAGGTACTTTGAGATTCAATATCAGAGAAAACCGAGAGATGAAATACTTCTTGGAGGATACATAGATGAAGTGTTTGTTTGAGGATTCAGAGTTAGAGTACATGTTGGAAGATACAGAGATGGAGTGTCTGTTAGTGGGTGCAAAGACTCATGAGTGAAAGCAGGCATATCAAATTTCAAGGGGAAGATGAATCTGAATGACTTCATAGAGTGGTTGCAGGTTGTTAAGAGGTCTTTGAATACGAAGAGGTATTAGATAATCAAAAAGTGAAATTAGATGCTACAAAACTAAAGAAGAGTGTCTCGTTATGGTGGGAGAATCTGAAGTGGAAGAGAAATAGAGAAGGATGGAGCAATATTACTACCATGGAGAAGATAAAGAGAGATTTATAGCTATAGTACCTACCCCCACACTACTATCTAAAAGTTTTCTTGAGGCTTCACTACATACAACAAATGGACCTATTTGTGGAGAAGTACACAACAAAGTTTATTCTTTTTAAGATGAAACTTGATCTATCAGAGTTAGAGGAACACACAATAACCTGGTACTTTGGAGGCCTGAAGCTCGTCAACAGCAATGTGGTTCAACTACGATTTTACTGGTCTTTGAGTGACGTTCAAACCTTAGCATTGAATGTGGAGAGACAACAGAAGCAAAGCAGACACTCACTACCATTCAGACAGCCACCTATAGTTGGAGACATCAGTAGGAGCACATCTAAGGTAGTTGATAAATCTGGTTAGGGTGATGAAGCTGTCAAGTGTGAAGATGTCTTAGAAGAGTAGCACCCCTAATACAGTCACAGCCAGGAAATGTTTCATTTGCCATGATTTGGACACATCGTTTCCAATTTACTAACGAGCCAAATTGTGTCCTTCACTGTACAGGGTGTCGTGGAGGAAATTAGTGATGAAGAGAGATAAAGAAAAGGGTGAGAAGCACCACCTTCCACCGGATGAGGGCGAGATGCTTATAGTTCGATGAGCCCTATAGATTGAGGCTATGAGGGATCAGTAGTGGCTTGACCACAACATTATCTACACTCATTGCACTCTAATGAGAAATATATGCAGTTTCATCATGGTGGAGGAGCAGTAAAAATGTGTCTTCTACGCAGATAGTGCACAAGTTGAGTCTAACAACTCAGAGGCACTCTCAGTCATACTCTTTGATGTGTTTGAGAAAAAAATAGATTCAATATTGACAGGTGGTGTCTCATTAAGTTTTCAATTGAGAGTCTGGTGCAAGATCAGATTTTGAGCAGCATGGTGCCTGTGGATGTCTGCAACTTTTTGTTGGGGAGAACATGACAATATGATTGTCAGATTCAACATGTCGAGTTCAGGAATACCTACTCCACTAAGGATGGCAAGCGCATAGTTCTTATGCGGAGTTTGAGATTACAAGTGCCCTTGCCAGTGGATAAGTGCTAGTAGGATTTATTTTGGTGATGATAGAGATAAGCTGACTTAGATGTTGAGTCCAAACACGGGGCAATCACTACAGAGGTTATTTTAGGGCATCATGATCGATATCTCATCGCCATGGCCGCCACCTTAGAGGGAGTATAATCTGTTCTTGCATCATATAGGGATGATCCATCCCGAGCTATCTTTGGAAAACTCCGCATGGCACACTTGCCACGAAGTACCAGTCTAGTTCAACAGTGTTCTCTCATTTGGTTAGACTGATATGGATAGTTGCTTGTAAGTGAGGATAACTCCTCGGGTGTTTTAGGGAACAACACAGTTGACAATGTGATCTAAGTACTTCTTGGGCTGCAGTCGAAGATCTTTTAGCCTCAAGAGGGTACAGTAGCTCTATCACTTTCAACGCAGACAAAAGTTTCGACGAATGAGGTCGAAGCCCCCCAACTCTGATATACTGATGCATTGTATCTTCGGGCTTGAACTAGACGAAGCTCTTGGAGGCTGAACCAGTTTAGCTGGGAGGGAGAAATGGCTGGATGGCTTTAGGTAAGTGGCCCACCTTCAACATACTCTACGATTGCCCACCTTCTAGCCATCCGACAGCTGACTCTTTCCTTCCTTTGTTGTCTTCTGACCATCAAACACTTCATACTTGGTAATTCTCTGTAAAACACAACACCACCACCCTCGACCTAAGGTCTAGTTGAGTTTTGCTGTCTTTTGCTATTTTCTAGTTACAAGTATCTTTGATTGTAGTATATATTTAATTTTCGTAATAAAAGTTACATTTCTATTGTCATTTGAGTTTAACTCCGGTATTAGATAGTAAAAAGCAGTTAAGAGTGACGATATCTTATAAATATGGCTGCAAATCTTCAATCTAAGGCTAAAAATGAATAATGTTTACAAAAGAAACAAGGAGATGATGCCGTTTCATTGGAAGGCTTGAGACCGGTGTAAATTGATTACTAGAAGGCACAATAATGAGAAGTGAGATTTTGGCGCGTGAATGTGATAAGGCATATAAAATTGGAATCGAGAATGCCATCCTTCCAGAACTACGAAAGGTCGATCATGCATGTTTTGCATCAAAGACCAATGATTCCTAGCTGCATCCTTGAGGAGTGAGATCAGGTGGCCCATTCTTATATGGAATTGACTGCATATAGATGGATTCATCGAACAAACCCTAGTCATTATCATATTTTCGGTTATTAGCTGCTCATTATTTTTTTTAATGCCTCAAAAACATTATTTCACGTTTATTTGGATTCATCGAGCAAACCCTAGTCATTATTCATATTTTCGGTTATTAGCCGCTCATTATTTTTTCAAGTGCCTCCGAAACATTATTTTACGTTTATTTGGATGCAAAAAATTGAACTCTTTCCTAAAAACTTTATATACAATTCTTTGTGATGCTTTTCCATGTGATACTCAAATACCTATACCTTAGTTTTGATTCAAACTCTGGAAATAGTAAAACAGTCCTTCACCTGTGTAATTCAATGCTCGTGCTACTGATTTTTTCTCAAGATCATAGAGAAGATTGTGTTATTATCTTTGTTTGTGCTAGTTTATAATTTGGATCAGTGTATTGTTAGGATATTAATAAGATTTTGGTGCATGAATGTAATAAGGCATATAAAATTGTTGTTGAATTTTGTTTCTTTTTCTAGCTTATTGTATGTATTCTCTTCTAATGCAAGAGCACATACATTTACCATCATGCCTATTTCGGTGAATTTATATGCATACCACCCATTTCCTATGTATTTACATGTCTAGCACCTAAACTTTGCTTTTTTTAATTTATAAACCCAAATCATATAAATCACGTAAAAAATATCACTATTTTAACTTGAAAAAAAGTGGAGTACACCTCATCATGCATAGTTAAAAGTGGCATGTATGTAATAATTAAAATTTTTGCTGCATTTGTAAATACATAAGAATTAAGTGGTGTGCATGTAAATCTTTCTATTTCTTTTAGATATATTTTATGGTTGATTGTTACGACACAGGAAAGAGCAATGAAAAAGAAGGCTGAGGCAGGGTTAACAGCTCTTAAACGCTGTCCGGCCTGGAAGTTCCATGGCTTCTCCCCACTGCCTCCTTACACTTGTGCAGCATCATCAGGATTCTCTACCGCTAGCTCCACTATCGGCAACAGCTACCCTCAGCCGCCACAACATCCACTTGTGACCACCCCCTATCTTCTTCAGATCTGCACTCAGCCTCCAGCCATAGGCCATCACCTCCCCAGCTGAGCTCCAACCCATTGGGCCCACCCAGCTACCTGATTATACTCGTGCGAACCAGTACGTGTCTTTATTTATCAGCATTCAATAGCCTAGTTATGCTATGTGCCTGATTTAGGTATGTAAAGGCACTTGTATCTGAACCTGAAATTTGATGCTTGGCACTGTCTATCTTATATGATGTGTATTAATGAAGACGCTATCACGATGCGTTGGCTTTTGGCATGGTCCCCGGTGTGCTGCTGTCGTTATGCTTCGGAGTATAAGGTTAGATCTCATTGTTTTGAATGTTGTGTGGCCTTTTTGAACCTAACTAGTGTTCCTTCCGTGTTTCTTTTCTGTATGTGTGCGCTTGTATTTATTTAGTGTCGGAATCTGGTAAATAATGAGGCTATCCAGTGTTTATATCATTTTGGTTGAAGCCCCCTATACGTTTTCTCCATTGTATTTTACATTGTTTAGATGTAGTGCCACGCCTTTTGCTACTTCTACTACTTTCAATGCCTTCAGGCGTCGAAAATATTACCTCATCCAAAGATGTCCGCATCCCACAGTTTTTCCCGACCCTTTTTAAAAAAAATATGTTTTAGATAGCTGAAATGATGCCCGACCCGAAATAATGTGAATGAAGCGATATTGGTATTGGGAAAAATTGAATAAATGACTGACATGATTTAGGATTTTGGAAAAACAAGTGAGACGGAAAAGAAAAAAAAAATCTGTTGTGAAGGTGAAGAAGATGCAGCATAGGAGGGAGTAATGATCGTGTAGATGGAAAAACAATAGTGCTACCAGGCATGAAATAGAGAGAGCCAATGTCGCAGATTTTAAGTCATCAGTTATCTTCAAATTGCAAGGAATACATCCATAAAAAAGGTGCAGTCCTGGACACATACATTATTTCAGGTCGGGTTGGTTCATCAGCTATTTAAAACATGTTCTTTAAAAAGGGCTGGGCAAAATGTGGGGGTGTGGCACATATCTTTTTTTTATTTATTTATTAGAGTCCGGATGTAATATCTTCTCCTAGCAATAGTGTCTGTGAACACCCCAGGTTGTACTATTTTGTTTGAAGCCCTATAGATTTTCTCCATTTTTAAATTTTGTTGTTTTCATTGCATTTTTAAGTTGTGTAAATATTTTTCATTCATTAGATGGGGCATAAACATTAAGACGGAAACATCATAATTATAAAATTATGTAAACCTAAAAAAATGTGAGAATTAATATATCAATATGGTAATCTATAAATATGTAGATGAAATATAGTAAAATTATAACAAAGTAAAAAATGACAAATTGTGCCTATATCAATTAAAAAATTGTGTAAGAAGCAAAATATTTTGACAAGAAATTTTGCAAAATAAATGTGTATGTAGACGTGAACTAATAAAATAACATAAGACTTTAAAGGAAAGTAATATATCATGTAAAAGCAAGGTTAGAAATTAAACCTGTTTAGCATGACAAATTTTTCTCTTATTTTGAACACAACTTCCATAAATTTAATTAAGAATATAATAAATAATGAAGTCTCTTAGCATTCTCATTGCTTTTGGGGATTTTCATTAAATTTGTTATTATGATATCTTTCTCATTAAAAATAAAATAAAACTTCCAATGCATATGCAGTCTATCTGTCTTTCTAGCATGCTCTAAAGATATGTTCTGAGTTGTAGTTGTCCTCTTCTCCATGATCCATTATCATTCATACTTACTATATAGTGATCAATGAGTTTTCTTTCATCTATACTAGACATTTTTGTTGAAGATGATGATGTGTTTTGACAATATTCACTCTTATAATAAGAGTTGCCATAGAAGTTTATCATCAAATAAGTGTCGTCCAAAATACTTTGACAATTTCCGCTTGTTTATATATTACTGCTTCTACTCTTTTATTTTCTGGCACATTGGCAAAATATGCAATTTTTTTGTATGATATTCTATCATTTTTTGTAACACTCATTTATACTATCTTCTCATGGTAATGGTACTTCAAATAAATGTCTTGCTGTCACAAATAGGGGATAAAGGCTGTTAGTGCTGCAAGAAGGGATGGTGATGATTGTAACAAAAGCTGATGGCTTTTGCTACAAGGAATTAGGTGGCGCCTATGGCTACTGAGAAGGCCAAAGTTGTTGGAGGCGACGAACAACGCCATAGTTAAAGGGAATTGTGGTGATTCCTTCAATTGGACGACTAAGCCGAGTGTGAGGGTTGTTGGAGCAGGCTAGAGTTGCTTTTCTACAGTATGATGCTTAGGTCTCATTGTGATTTTTCACAAGAAGAAATATTATGTGCGATCAGGGAAGGTAAGGACAGATATAGATTTGATGTTATTATAATAGTATTCATTACAATACGATTACAATACCTCCAATTCATATAGACCGTATAGACCGCACAGTGCATCTCTTATTGCATAATTTTTAATAATGATTTTGATGTAACAATAGATTTCTTTGCTGGAGTAGAGTAAAATGTGTTAAATATTTAATTGTTATGTAAAATTTGGGTTAGTGAGCATAAGTAATATAATCATTAGATGCACTTTTAGATGAATATGACACAAGCTCTTTATTTCTATAATAGAACATAAGAGTTGATTGATTAGTATTTAATAAGTTCAGCATTATGAAATTTTATTTGTGTATCATAATGTAATTTTAGTATCCTTCTAGGTTTGTCTTTTAGTGCATCTTTCTTTTAGCCCGACGAACGTGCCGTGAGCTGCTAACTTCACCTAATTGGATTTGAATTTTGACATTTGATCAGGGTGACTTGATCTGATGATTTTATAGGCTGATTTACATACATACGACATAATTCTTATATATTTACAAATCTAACAACTAAACTTTCATATTTACATCCATAGTCTCATTAAAAATACAAGTATAATTTAATTTTTAAAAATATTGTACTCATTTCATGCATAGGTTTATAACACCAGTGGTATGAATGTAAATATGAAGGTTTAGGTGTTAGGTTTGTAAATACATATGATTTGTGTTGCATGCATGTATATTTCCCTAGTTTATACTATGAATATCAGTAATATTGTCTTAGTTTTATCAAAGACATGTTGGTTTTGTACATTAAAATCATGTTGATTTTGTTTTCCATTGAATATGCCAATATAACATTAATGAATGCTACAAATTATTAGGTACTTATTTATGTTAACATTCAATAAAATAGTCCTCAAGTTATCTTAAGTTACATCAGCTTATCTAAATGACTTAATTTTGCTTAAATGTTTAGCTAAACATTGTGATAAGTAAATTAATTTAAATATAATTTATTTAAAAAGTATTATAATATTTGTAATGAAAGGTATTAGACAAGATTCAATTTTTAAAAATTAAATTTGATAAACAGTCTAATGTTTAGGAAGGTATCAAAGCCATCATTATGTCATTCATAAGCCATCATAGATGGACATTACTGAACAAGGAATCTTGAAATTAATTTTTTTTAGAAAGTTTACTTACATACGACACAATTCTTACATAGTTACATGTGTACCTAACACATGGTTGATTGATGGCTAAACTATTGTATAGAAGATTTATTAAATTAGGTCGCCAAATTATTCTATGGATGGGCAAAATGCCTCACTCTTTGAAGAAATTATTTGATGTGAATAATGTGCCATAGTTTTTACCTTGTATTGAAGTACATAATTGTTGTATTTGATCTATACATAATTGAGTTCAACGATACTCCCAGTATATAAATTTCTCCTTTGTAATTGTGTCTTTAAAATGTATATTATGTCGTACAGAAGTAAGAAGGCTAACTGAGGCTCAATTATGTAGTAAAATGCATATTATGTGTATAAATTTCTCCTTAGTTTTGAATTTCACTATCCTCCTCATAAAATTAAAAACTCATCACTTTCCTTCACTTGATAATTGTAAGTATTAGTTTGAAAATAGGTTTTAATAGAGGCTCAATTCTTATAAAGTGTAAATCTAAGAATCCTAGTTTTTTGAAAATACATTTTGTTCTTACCATATATAGTAAAATCATTTTCTTATTGTCTCCTACAAAATACCTTAACTTTATAAGAGTCCTATTTTCCTAAAATCTCAACTAAGTTTTCTATAACATCTCTAAAATCAAAATTATAGTACCCTAAATGTAACGCCACATACCACAAGTCATTTTAAAATAATATCAATTTTATTTGTAAGTTACTGAGGACAACTAAAGTTAAGCTTTTAAAATATTTTTCTCCCCCTAAATTTGATTTTAAACATGTAAAACATTCAATACAAGAAATATAAGAAGGAAGAAAATCACAGCTCAGAAATATAATCTACCTCATTTTCAATTCGAAATATTTTCAAGTATTCATCAAGACATAACAATATGCGACAAAAAGCAAGTCTAAACCACACATGCCAAAATTAAAACAGAATTAAAGAAAGTCTAAATAAAAATGCGGGTATCAACATAGAAATATAAAAACAACCAACTAATTTGTTCAAAATTAATAGCAGACAAATTTAAAGCTCCAGTAAAACAAATATCAAAGAAATACATCACTTAGCAGCAGCAACAACAACAACAACAACAGTGAAACCACAATTACTGAATATATCCAAAAACAACATCAAACAATTCAATCTACACAACAACTAACACAACACACCACAAACAGTTACAACTCAAAAAAAAAAAAAAAAAAAAAAAAAAAAACTAACACATATGTACCTTGGGTTGTCTCCCAAGAAGCGTTTGGTTTAACTTCGTCAGTCTGACAAATAAGGATTTCTCTCGGATCAAAATTCCAATTTAGTAATCCCTGATTAATCACCCAATCTTTTGTTGATCTTTGAATTTCTACTAAATCCTCAAATTTTAGTTTTTCTTGCAACATTTCCTTCTCAACTCTAAAAGTCATATTGATGGAATGTAGAGGATCGATTCAAATTATTGTTCCTATTGATTCTTTCTAAATTTAATATTCTCCCAATGAATTTTCCTATTTGCATATTAATTTCTCTCTTACAAGTTATACAAAATGAATCCCTATAAGATAATTCAATGTCTCCTAAATTTTGGGTCGGATACTCCTCAGGTGATTTAGATTATGGACCAAATTATATTGGGTTACTCGCTTGTCTAGGGTTGTCTTCCAATTCTTCCCATTGGGGAACTACTATGGATACTATTATTGGCTCAACTATTACTCTCATAATACAAGGTGGTGCATGGTCCTCAAACTTCAACTTTTCATTAAGAACCTCCTTAATAAACTTCACATAACTGGGCATTTGATCTAATGCCTCGGCAAAAGGAATATTTATAATTAATTTATTGAATACTTTTATAAATCTTGAGAATTGTTAGTTTAATTTTTGTATTTGGAATCTCTAAGGAAATGATGGAGGTGGTCTTTCTATATTTATTTTGGTTGTAAAAATATGTTTTTTTTCTAATTCCTTAAGAATTTCTTCCATTGGTCTTTCGATCTATTCTTTCTCTTTTCTCAGCTCAATGTTCTTTTGAACCATATCCTTTATTTATCTTCTACTTTTTAGTTGGATAACTTTAACTTGCTCACAATTCTTCTCTTTAGGATTTATCTCAACGCCACTAGGTAGAATCTCTTGAGCCTTAAGATTTATCTCAACGCCACTAGGTAGAATCTCTTGAGAACGATTGTTAAGTGAGTTAGCAATCTGCCCTAGCCGGTTTTCTATATTTCTTATTGCAGCCCCTTGGCTTTGCAACTGACTCCCCTTTTGAATAACAATTTTTTCTAACGATAACTTCTTCTCCTTGAACTATGGGTTGAGTTAATTCCAAGAGAAAAAGAAAGCCCAACGTTAGAATTACCCTGATTATTCCAATTATCTATAGGATTAACTTGATTATCTCCCCACGATTGGTTTTCTCCTCCAAAATTATTATTCAGGTTAAAGTTGGAATGATTCTCCCAACCTGGGTTGTAATAATTGGAATATGGTTATTTGAGCGATTGTTTATCTGATGGATACTTTCAAAAGAGTTAGTATCCACCAACAGTTCATATGAATTTTCCCCAATCACTA